TTTCAATGACAATCGTCAAACTCATCTTCATGAGATTAACCATTCAATAGCTAATGCAAGATTTTCTCATTCTCATATTTATAGGAATCAAATGTTTTAAAAAAAATTAAATTAACAAACACTAACTAAAAATAAATATATAATATATACTCTAAATCATGATTAAATTATATTAAATAAAATTATTGTAAAAAATAAATAATTTATTGTTCATATTTTAATTAGATATATTAAATACTTATATAAAATAGAACTAAAAAAATGCATTTATAAATAATTTAAAAGGATATTATTTAATTTTTATCAATCATGTATATTATATAATTATTCATAAATTGAATTATAATATAAAAACTATATTCGACAAACATATTCTTATAGGAATTTATGTAATGATATATTTGTATTAGTTAATATGTATATGAAAACACAATTTACTAATTTATTATATAATATATATGAGTGTAACAATACAAAAATATATTTATTAAAATATTATATATATTTTTTAGGAAGTAAAATAACATTATTATTATAGTAAATAAAAAATAACATCAATATAAGTATTATTTGTTTTCTATAAAATAGTGATTAATAATAATATGGAACGATAATGTTATTTTATTTCGGTCTTATTTTTTCTGTATACAAAACACATCAACTGAAAAACTTGTTTCATTCATTTCTCATATTCATTCTATTTTTCAACTCATTACATTCATATCAAATTTCATTCTATTATACCAATTATGCCATTAATTATATATGACATGTAATTATGAAATAAAGACTGTAATTTATGGTGCACTAGTTAATTTCCCCTATTTTTTGAATGAATTGAGACTGAAAATTCGATACGAGGCAGCCAGGCAGGTCATAATGGGCCAGAGGTCCATAGCCCCTCCATGGTCATATGATTATGTTATTTATTCAGGCCACTCTTGCAAATCCAAATCATTTTCATTTAAAATACAATTGGGAAATTTTTATTTATAATATGTGATTTTAAATTAATTGCAACTTTACCATAGAAGTTGAAATAATTATGTCTCTACCTAAAAGACCTTATTTATCTATATTAATGCCTAAAGTCAGTTACCATATCCTTCCCACCTCCATCCCCCTTTTTATGGGCATGATTAAGAGAGAGAAATGAAAATAAATATTAACTCATATAATTCCTTAATTCGCGCAACTTGAATTCCTTAATTCACGCAGCTGTCAGGTGGTATATATTGGGTTTATGTTAGTATATTTTCAGTATATGTTGCAATGAAAAACATGTTTTCTATCAAAAAATTATGTCTTCCTATTTTTTTTTCTTTTATGCATAAAAGTATATATATAGTTTATAAACTAAAAATATATTGTCTACATACTCAACATATACTTGCCGTCTGAGCCAATTGTAAATAATCCCGACATAAAATGTCTATAAACTGAAAATATACTGTTTATATACTCAACATATACGTGCAAACTGTAAATAATCCCGACGTACAATGTCTATAAACTGAAAATATACTATACATATATTGTACATAAACTGTAAATATACTGAACATATACTCCAATCCAAAGTATATTGTACATATCCCTAAGATATACATATAATGTTCATATACTGATCATAAACTAATTAATTAATAAATATATCAGAAAAAAATAAATTAAAAAAATATATTAGAAATGGCAACCACAGCAAAGGAAGAAGGCGCAGAGCGTGGAGACCAACACGACGGCCTCGAAAGCCAAGACGATCTTGAAGAGTACTCCATCGACGAACCACAAGTGCAAATTAATTGAACCGCTTCTTCCACCACATGCCGGCCGAGCTCTTCAATTTCCACGGCCTTGCGCCGCCAGGGTTCCGCCGCCGCCCTTCGCACTCAGCCTCTTGAAGAAAAAGGATGAAAAGCTCAACCCGACAATTTTTTCTCCATATGATCGATCTGCTCTTCCCCCATTAGGCTCAATTTTTTTTTTATTTTTTTTTTCCAATTTGTATTTTCGAATGCGTCGATCAAGGAGAGACAATTATGCGTAGGGGTTTGGTCTTTTTGTACTTTGAAGTGTGAAAGGCTGGTGAAAAAAGAGGTGAAGGGGGAATATGAAGAGAAACCTTTCGGCGGCAGAAGAAGATCCAAGCGGCTGACGAGCAACCTTTTTTCTTTTTAGTCCGATTGAAGCAGGCCTGAACGAGAGATGCAGAGACCAGATTTCCAGCGAGAAGAGAGAAAGGGATTAGAGGAGAGATAAACTAAAATCCCATCAAATCCTTTATTTACCATTTTTAAACGATATACTTAACAAAACTAAAAGATGGTATATGTGTAAATATTATGATAATTTTCATAAATTTGCAAATAAATATATATTAGATGTATATTTGTAATATAAAGAATAATGACTAGTATGGGATGTAAATTCCTCAATAGAATTTGAGGAAAAAATATATTTGATAACCATATATACACATCTGGTATGTGATTATTCGAGATAATTTTTCATGTTAGGCAGAGGAGCACTTCTGTATATAATAGTATAATTCTATATAATTATTGCAACCTACTAAGTCATGTGAGCAAGTTTACATATGGTTTACCAGGCACGAGTGATAATCTCGTATCTTTATTTTACACATTAAAAATTAAAATTACCTTAGTCAAACTATTATTTCATGACAACTACATGTCACCGAATAAAGCAATCCCAGAAATAGTGCAATTAACAATCATTTCATTTACATGCGTGCAAAATTTTGACTTTAAATAATTGAACCTCCAATAATCAAATTACCTTTCTACATTTAAATATTTATTTGTAGTTTGTCACTTTATACGTTGTTGATGAAATTCAAGAATGTCAAAGATCTTAATATCCAAGCCCACCATGTATAGTTTAACATTAATAAATACTAGTACGATATCCGTATACTACACTGGTGTTGAGTTAAAAAAATATATTATAAAAGTTATTGCTCAATAAAAATTTTATTTAAAAATTGTGATGGATTAATTAATGAAAAACAAAAGGAATAAACAGTGCAGAAAGTGACTTGCAAATACTAAATTGTAATTTATGAGAGAAATATGAGAGAAAATTATAAGATGGAAAGATTGCTACTTGCCCAAATTAAGAAGAAAATTTGTACTAATAAAATCAAATGTACACTTACCAAATTTGAAAAAAGCTATTTATGTATATAGCAAGCCTAATTCCAAAGTAAAAAATTAATATACAAACAATATTATGAATCATAGATTTTTGTCATGTCAACACTCGAAGCGTGTGAACTTGCCACTTAGACTAAACTACGTAGTGAATTAATATATAGGGAGGGATAATATTCCTAATACATTTAATTTGAGTTCAATGTATAATGAGATCCTAATGAAAAAATTGAATTCAATGAGTTCAATGTATAATGTAATCTTAAGAGAAAATTGTAAATTTAGTCCCAAAACTTTTGTTGTTTCCCACATTTGGTCCCAAGCACGCCAATTATGGTCCTTTTTGAAGTTTCGTTGCCAAAATGGTCCCACTCCGTCAAGACTTAACAGTCAACGTTTATAGCCTGGGACCAAATGTGGAAAACAACAGTTCTGGGACCAAATTTGCAATTTTATTGAAGAGTAAAGGATAAAAATAATTTAAATTTATTTTTATTAGAATTTTTTTTTAAAAAAAAAATTTAATAAATGTTAAAAAGGTATATTACCATTCTTTCCTAACAATACATTTTATTTATTTTTTAATAAATTATAAAAGATAAATATAACTAACATACAATTCTTTCACATTTTTTATTGTAAATTAAAGTTTACCTTTATTTTTTTTTACATAAAATGATTATTTAATTGGGTAACTTAACAAAAGGTGTATAAAATAATTTTATTAATTAGTTCATGATAAATTAGATGCAAAAAAATATATTATATATTTTACTATAAATAAGTGGGAGCAGATGTCTATTTTCACTTAATTTAATGCCAATTTTTTTTTATTATGCTTAAAATTGAAATTTTTTATGTAGATGTAATTTGCATAAATAAATAGATTTTTCACTTTATAGTTGTCAAAATCAAATTAATAAATAAAAAATTATTGAAATAAAAATAGACAGTAATAAAAAAAATAGTTTAGATTGGGTTTTTTTTTTTAATTCGTATTATTTTATAAAGTTTGGAAGGATATATAAATTATCACATTATACTAATATTTAAAAGTGNGCCCTTACTTTTCCTCACATCATATTCATAGTAAATTAATTTTATTATGTCATTTCGACTTTGAGTGAGTGAGAGAGACTTGAAGAATTTGAAGAACTCATTCTATTTATTTTTTTAAAATTGCAAAATTGGTCCCAAAAATTGTAAAATTAGTCCCATCTAAGGTCCTCACATGAGCCCCGTCAATCTTGACGGACGTGGGACCATTTTAGCAACGAAAATTCAAAAAGGGCCATAATTGGCGTGTCTGGAATCAATTGTGGGAAACAGCAAAAATTCTGAGACCAAATTTGTAATTTTATCGTAATCTTAAAATTAAATATGTCAATATTTATTTTGCTATATTTTATTCTTTTTTGGTACCAAACTCTTGAAAGTCCAACACACAAAGGCCAACTAAATTCTAAACTTTCAAGAAATTAAAGGCCGAAAACACACAAAATATGTCTCAGGAATTAGAACAAAGCTGCAACAAACAACAAAGGTGGTCTCTCCAAGGCATGTCAGCTCTAGTCACTGGTGGTACAATTGGGTATTTATCTTAAATAATTGTAATTACAATAAAATTAACATTCAAGTTTCACTTAATTATATCCAATTCTTGATTNTTTCTTGATTTTATTCTCTAGGTACGCTATAGTTGAGGAGCTTGCCGGTTTTGGAGCGAGTATTTATACATGTTCGAGAAATCAAGTCGAGCTTAGTGAAAGGCTTAAAGAATGGGAAGAAAAAGGGTTCAAAGTAAAAGGTTGTGTTTGTGACTTGGCTTCAAGAACACAAAGAGAGGAGCTTATGAAAAATGTGGCCATGGCTTTTGATGGAAAGCTCAATATTCTTGTAAGTAATTTCGTTAATTTTGATATATATATATATATATATATATATTTAATAAGGATATGAGGTTTGATGTGAAAGAATTTTTTATAAGTGCAGTTAATTAGTTATTAATTATTGTAATTTATGTGAAAAGAGATTAGATTTTATTTGTTTAGCATTTGAACAATTTTTTTTTCGAAAGTGTGCTATGTGAACAATTCACATAAAAATAAACATTTAGCTAATATAATCACATTTTGATGGATTTCTACATTCTGCTCCGTTAATAAATAGAAAACTAGGGGGCACGAATCATGAACTGTAACTTCAATCATGAATTAAAACTTATTTATATCTTGCTTATACTCTGAAATATGTAAACAATACAAATATCTTCGTAAATTTTTCATTAAATTCTGTTAACTTTAATTTTTCAATGTTTTAAGCAACATTTACTAAGTATTTGCATCTTAAGTCCCTTTCTTAAAAAAAATTACAAAATATATATCTTTTCATCTTTTCAAATTATACTATATTCAGTAAAACTTAAACTCAGCTGACCACAAATAGATCAAATTAGCTGAGTGAGTACTGTTTGGACACAAGTGTACATAAATTTAAATAAATTTGTGGATAACAATATGGCACTACTTTTCCAAATTCTCTTAAATAAGGTGACATCATTGGTAAGTGCAACAACATTTGATAGTGAGGTCATTAACAAGATATTTCTTTTCTAATAGTTTGAAAAAGGTACTAGCCGAAACAAAATCTTGGATCATCAACAGTTTGTTTTTTAACCAACTAATCACTGGAAAATCAAATTTAAGAACTGATCAATATGATAAAACTTTTAAAATGAACTGATAATCTGCGTTCAAACAATAAGTTTATTGCTGGAAATTAATCTGATCATTAGATAATCCTACTTCGTGAACAAATTTGCACAATTTCATACTCTCTCTGTTTCTTAATACATGTCTTTGTAGGATGTCAATATTTTTGCAAATTCATTGTCGTTAGAAATATTTTATTCATTCTTTCAACTTTATCCTCTTTAACAAACTTTATCTCTTATCATTATCTTTAAAAACCAATTAACCATTAAAAATTTAAATACTAAATTTATGAGGATTAATATATAAGATTATTACACATCCATGAAAATCGTAATTTAAAAGTTTTAAATTAAAACGACATCTAAAAAGAAACAGATGGAGTAGTAAATTGTATTAGTACCAAAAAAAAAAATACAAATATTCACACCAAAACTTGGTGATAAACATGGCAATATTTTTCTTTGTCTATATAGACATGCCATTTTTTATCATATTAATTCAATATTAACTCATTAATATTGAATACGTCAAACAATATTCAGACTCGAGCTCAGCTCAACTCGTTTACAGGCCTAATTTTGATCTCATTTTGCCACTTTATGTAAATTTCAGGTGAACAATGCCGGGATGACTATAATGAAGCACGCATCAGATTACACGACGGATGATTTTGGTCGTATAATGACAACAAATTTGGAGGCACCTTATCATATTTCTCAATTGGGATATCCTTTGCTGAAAGCTTCTAAATCGGGAAATATCGTGTTCGTGTCTTCTGTTGCTGGCTCCATTGCCCTTCCTGCTCTCTCTGCTTATGCTGCATCTAAAGGTGACAAAATCAAGTTAATTATTCATTGACATATTTGTCTTGATTTTTTTTATAAAAATTGGGACAAATAACAAAAGGCTAAATTATAAAATACTTTTATTTCAATTGCAATCTAGATATTATCTTTTCAATTTGAGCAATGTAAGTCACAATTTTTATTTTTTCCCAACTGTAGAATGGACATGTGTTCAGATCAAAACATAATTTTTTAGCATGATTTATCTTACAAATAATGGAAGTTTTGTATTGCTAGAATTGTAAAAGTTGTGAAATCGCAATTAAAGTAAAAATTGTAATTTCGTGATCAAAGGCAATCATAAAACACAAACCAAACTGAAAAATGAAGGGTTTTGTATATATATGATACAAATTCATTAAACAAGATTTTCCATTTTAAACACTCTGAATTTGCTTTTTTTTTTTTCTGTGATTTTCAGGTGCAATAAATCAACTGACAAAAAATTTAGCTTGCGAATGGGGGAAAGACAATATTAGAACAAACACTGTAGCTCCATTCGGGGTCAGAACCGATATTATGAAACATGTACGTAATATTTTAAATTTATATTATTCTGAATATTATACCTACATTACTTACTAAAAACAATAAAATACATATATGATACAGAAAAAAATTAATTGTTGCTTGCAGGAGGTTCTGGACCCATCGATCCTGAAGTTCTTCGGACCATTAACGGGCCGGACCCAACTGGGCCGGATTGCGGAGCCCAATGAAGTGTCGTCGCTGGTCGCATTTCTTTGCTTGCCGGCAGCTTCTTACATCACTGGACAGATTATTCATGTTGATGGAGGCTTTACAGCAGGAGGTTTCTAGACAGTATTTTTAATGTTTAGTTCTTTGGCTAAATTTTAATCTCAATTTGGACCAGATTTCAGTTATGTTTAGCTCATTGGCATCATACGCATCTTGTTGCTAAAATATTTTTATGAACAAAATGGTGATTTTGACCATATTAAACTAAAATTAATGAAATTTATAACAATTTATAGTATCATTTAAATAAATCATTTAAATTATTTTACTTGTTTTAAGCATTTACTTAACAAATATTTATACTACCATGAAAAACAACAGAAAAATCAAGGGGAATTTACACACATTCGACTATATTTGCAAGAAATTGCAACTTTACGATCGATGGTATTTTAATTACTTATACACTAATTCACGGTGAATTAATTTTATATCATTTCCAAAATAAACACTCTCTCTCCCCTTAATTTAAGCATTGTATATCAGTTTCAAATATAAACTTAACCCCCTCCCCTTAAAACTCTCTCCACCACGATTTTTTTATTCTCTGATCTCTCTTCTCTATATCTAGTTTGATTATTCAAATATCTCTACATATAAATTTATAAACCACTCTCTTCTCTATATTCAATTCGATTTAAATTTAATTATCACTACATGTAAATTTATAAACCAATTTTTTTATTATAAAACTAGTGCCCCGTGCAATGCACGGGAATAATATTAAATTAACAATATTATAAATAGACCTCGAGTTTGAGTCACTCAACGGCGGAAGAAGAAACTACTATTGATCCTATTTAAAAAGAGGAAGAAAAAAAAATTATAAATTAAAGAGAGGATAAACAATACTTAATAATTATAAATTAAAAATTCGAGGTCAAACAATGTAAAATTATTTTGTATAAGAGAATAAAAAATTTGATTACACACCATTCAAAATTATTATTATACTTTTGTATGGTTAACTTATAATATTTGTAAAAACATGAGTAATTAGACCGATGAAAATTAACTTCTTAAAATAGATAATAGATTTATAGTAATAACTATGAATTAGTTTCTATTTTATTTTTATTTTTTTTTAAAGATTATAAATTTCTAATAGTAATTATGAATTGATTTTTATTTTATTTTTTCAAATTTGTATAGATAAAGGATAAGATTAAGATGAGATTTTTTAAACACGTGAAATATATTTAAATTTTAATGTTTACAGCAGGAGGTTTCTAGACAGTATTTTTAATGTTTAGTTCTCTGGCTAAATTTTAATCTCAATTTGGACCAGATTTCAGTTATGTTTAGCTCATTGGCATCATACGCATCTTGTTGCTAAAATATTTTTATGAACAAAATGGTGATTTTGAAATATTAAACTAATATTAATGAAATTTATAACAATTTATAGTATAATTTAAATAAATCATTTAAATTATTTTACTTGTTTTAAGCATTTATTTAACAAATATTTATACTACCATGAAAAACAACAAAAAATCAAACATAGGAGCTGTTCGCCACTAATTGGCCGTACAAGATTGGTCCATTAACTATTTTTAAATTACCAATTAGCTCGAATTAATGAGTTATCCCAACAATGTAAGAATTTCCAATCAACTACCTTCACTACAAAATTATTATATTAACCAAAAGTGACCTACACATAATTAAATATAATAAATAATGCAGATAACCAACTTTAGGTAAATTAATGATGTTAAACAAAATTACTGTCGTTAAACAAAACAAATTTTTTCATGAATCTCATCTACACCTCCAATGAAACCCATTATAATTATGATTCAAAAGTAAAGATAAGATTTAAAAACAGATTGTTTCAAATTGAAGCGCAAATCCAAAGTTTATATCAAATTTGTTAATACATTTCAAGATACTAACAAAATGTATTACAATATTATTTTGTAAAAGAAAATACACATAATTGTAATTAATATAACAATGTATTACAATATGATTATGTAAAAAAAAATACAAGATTGCAATTAATATTATGAACGGATCAGACATTTGGCTTGAAATCCTCTTGACGAGGAATTATGTTGTAGCACAGTATAATCAACTTCGATCATCTGGGGAAATAATCATCACATCCATGCTCCAAATCATTACAAACATAAATCGAAATTCAAATTCTAACTTAAAGGAACACATACAAATACAATAAAAGATATAAGAAAAAAACCGGCCTCAAAGATCTTGGTGATATAGAATCATCAAATGGGATTGTACTTCAACTTTCCCATCAAGAGTAGCAAATATTTTTCACTATCATCGACCAACAAAAAATAAATGTTTGTAGTATCATAATAAAGATAAAAATCAAAACTATTATAACAATAATAAAAATTTATTAGGTCAGAAGTAGCTGGTTGAGAAATCATGGATTATTCATTGGGAATCCGATTGATTTTCTTTTCTTCATACCTAATTATATTGAATTAAATACACAATGTAAATAGAAAAGAATCAATTAAATAATTCAATTACAATCATCTATTCATTTTGAAAAAAAAGAAGTAATAGAGATCATTGAAAATGGATCAGACATTTGGCTTGAATTCCTCAAAAAAATGAGAAAATTTGTTACAGCACAATTATAATCAACTTCGATCATCTGGGGAAAAATAATCTTCATATCCACAATGATTAAAAAATTGCAAACATTAAAATAAGGTTTAATTTATTAAAGGAATGGAGATGGATCAGAAAAATTGGCTTGGAATTTCTCCACAATAAAAGGGAGAAAAACAAAAAAGTCGCTCAGTAATTTCACCGTCGAATCATCTGGGGAAAAATTCTCATCACTTCCATCTCAAAAACAAAACAAAATAAGTTTCGAGCAAACTATATCTATATGTAAGCAGAGAGATTTAAAAAGTTCAATAGCAAAATTAGCTTCAGATTGAAACACCCTTTATTTATGATTAAGGGGTGCTTCTAACAATCCTAAGTTTATGACCATACCATCTCAAAAGATTCAAAGACATTAAATTTGCAAAAATCGAAAAAGGGACATCAGGTCTCCAAGGTGAATTTAGCATCAAGGTAGAAAATTCAGCCGCAAATTACCCATTTTCACGTAAGATTCATCATTTGCCCCCCAAAAAAAACTAGATTCATAGACAAAACATTTACTAAAGAAAAAACAAAAAAACAAACATATTGAACAGAAAGCGATCAGAACCTGTCGGGATTCACTGTTAACATCACACTTAATATCAGTGGATTGACAGACATGAATTTCTTCGTCACATCGCAGGTAAAAATATAAACAACAATTGGGGGTTCAAAAAAAAAATAAATGAACTAGGAAAAACTATGATTATGCTCAGAACTTCTTAGAGGGATTGAGTACCGTCACCGGCGGCCAGCGCCATACGGCTCAATGAGTTTCATCACAGCTAATCTATTCAAAAAATGAAAAAGGAGAAGGAAAAAAATGTGAAAATAAACAGAAGGATAGATTCAGCTGCTGAGGGTTCAAGGGATGAGGATAGCGCAAGAGGCGAAGAGGTGTATTTATAGCTTATCTGGAAAGCCCTGAAACGGTGCCGTTTTGGCGCCTTGTGAGTTGGGTAGTGGCGGCTCCGCGAAAAACCCTAAAATTCACCGTGGGTGCAAAACGGTCTCGTATTGGAAATAAGTTCTATATTTTATATAATAGTAAAACATACAATATAATAATATGGAAAAAAAATTAGTAAAATAGAATATGGACGAGGTTATGTTCACACTTCACATTTCATTTCTCCTTCATCCCGCTCGGATTTTGCTACAGGAATTTGCCCAGGCGAGATACCCGGCGGGTGAAGGTGAACACTTTTAAATTCAGAGTTGCTGCTTTACGTTTTTTTTTTTTTTTTTTTTTCTTTTCTAATTTTCGAGACGGCCAAGCTGAAATTGATTGCGAGCTGAAAAACTTCTTTCATGTTATTTATTTTTAAACAAAAATGCGTATCACCTGTTCGATGAAATTCTTGAACGAATTGCATATGTATCTGTCTTAGAAATGTCGGCGTAAAGCCCTGGCTTTGTGCTTTGTTCATCGAAAATGCGGCGGATTTATGATGACTGGCTTGAGATTCTAAAGATTCAGATGTTTCGGAGACTGGTGTCTTATACAAGGTTCTTCTGTTTTGCTGCGCTCATCAGCTATGTCTTTACTAACAATACGTAAGTTTCGAAGGTCATTATTGTATCAGGAATAAGTGATTGATTTTCTCATGAAAGTTCATTTTGTTTTTAGCAGGTGTTCAAGTAAGCGTCATGTCTTGATTAATGATTTAATCGCTTCGTTTTCCGAAGCCTGCGTATTTGTAATTTAAGAAATGTTGGTTTGTTTCATAATTGAGTTTGAGTAACTCGAATAATTATCAATATTCTTGTATGTGGAAAAAAAAAAAAAAGAGGCCCAAGTGGAACCTTGTTCTATTCCTGCAATCTATAGAACTTGTTTGTGCCAGAACTGGAAAGGAGGGATTTTGTGTGAAGTCAGTGAAATTTTATATGCATAGTATCAAATATGTCAACTTTTATTTTTATATTATATAGGAATAGAGCTGGATACTCAAGAGCTGACCAGTTCTATGCATCTCTTCCTGCTGGAACTGAACTTCTTGCTGACAAGCAAAGGTATGTGACTATGTGTACTATGTGGTGAGAAAGAAAAAGAAACAATTTTGACGTAAATTACTTCCCAATTTGTTTAAGGTAATTGGCTGAATTAGTAGGTAAAATGGCTTAGACGAAAACCAACTAAAAGTAAAGTTCATCGGCTTTAGGTATTGATGTTGCCTAACCCTTTTTAGGTGGTCTTTTGAGTTTTTGCTTGCATGTTAAATTGGATTAAATTTACCTGTTAGGAACTGGTTTTGAATTTGTTATTGAGTTATATTATGCTTTTTATGTGAGATGATATTATTCAGCCAACAAATTCAGATCTAAGATGCAACTGCTGTAAAGTTTAACTTTTTTTTTTTCATTTTTAAATAGATAATGTGCTTGTGTACACTGTGCGATGATAAGCGTTGAACATCTTAAGCTCTTTTACATAGCTTGAAATTTGGCTAATTGAGATTTTTAATATTATTTGGTAGCTATATAAAGCTGCACTCGGCAATTGCTTTGAAGTGCAAGACTGGGGTTCAATTGAATGGAGCATCTTGGCCAAACATTTTGAGCGACAAGGAAAATTACCATATGCCTATCATGCAGTAAGTTAACAAGATTTTACGGTCTTTTGACTATAGTTTGCTTCAATTGTATTCTCCAGAGGAAGTATAAAAAGTGCCAGATTAATACCTCAAATTTTAACTAGCAGGAAATGATTAGACAATACAAGATTATGAATTGCATATAGTGGCTTAATTATGCAACACAAACTAAAGATGATGTAGTTACCCTTCGGTTACATGTTTTGGTGATTCTTGAAAATTCAGTTTTGTTCTATTTCTCAAGGAAATTTAAAGGGGATGAAAGCTGATATTATCTAAAATAGTTTATTGTTTGATTTAACATCACTGCTTACATTTTTTGCAGCAATATATGGCACATCTAGCTTCTCAAGGACAAGTGGATGGAAGTTGAAGAATTGAGGATTAGCTGCAACTCACATTTTTAAAAGAACTTAAGAATGATTCGAACATCTCAAGTGAATGCTTAGTAGCTTCTTCTGTCTATTGTCACAACTGGTCGTGACTCTGGTCGTGACTGAACCCTTGTCACGGCCAGTTGTATGTAGATATTCCTTATGTCACTAATCGAAAGGGCTTGAAAATATCAGTTTGTGGGGAGGATTGTGTGCGTACAAGGCAAATATAAAATGTTGTCTACACAAAGGTTTTTAATAATATATAATATTATTTTTTATTTTATTTTATTCACTAACTAGTACAAATCCCGTGCAATGCACGGGTAAGAAATACATATTAATAATTATATTAAACGATGGGATATACGTTAATAACATAACACGTAAAGAACTAAAGTAAAACACAACCACACGTATGTCTATATATTTGAAAATAAAATTAAAAACATAACCATTTGCTTTTGAAAATCTATATTGTCAACATCTTGCTTCGTAGCAAAATGACAGAAGTCAAAATTAAAATGTTGGAAAATCGGTAGGATACTCCAACACTTTGCAGTAATAAATTGTTATTTACCAATGTTACTTTCTAGCATCCTCGAACTTGTCACTCATTAACTTCACGAATTAGTCCAGTTATGTGGCTACCCTGTAAAATCGCAATACAAAAATAATATTTTCGTCAAAAAATATTAAAATAATAAATATTGACAACTACTATTAAATCACATAATGAAGCATATTAACATCACTATCGTGGAAAACTATTTACAAATAACTTCTGTAAGAGACATCAAACATCATCTTAAAGATGTTGTTGGAAGTTTCAAGATGACCTTCGTATTTCATTTTAAAAAGTTGATTAGACCAAGGGTTCATCATATTTCACTTGTCCACAGATTTCTTTCCTCACATCTTCATTAATTCATTTTAGTATACATAAACCACAAATCGTGAAAAAACCTAAGAAAACATATAGAAATCAGTCAAAGTAATCAAATAGGAGAACTGCAGAATAAGAATGTACCTGAAAGTCCCCACAGCAAATGAGAAGATCAATCTTGATTTTTTCAACTTCTTGCAGGTGTAATAGAGTAGCAAATACATTATCCAAATCTCCATGCATGCACCCTTCTACAGCTCTTTTCATCTAAAATTATATATTTTCAATTAGAAGCAAAATAAACAGTGCCTTTAAACTAATGACAACAATTTAGTAGTGGCATTTACACAAGCTTCCAAACATGGGATATTCAAAATTTTATGCATATCAATAACTAAAATATGCTAAAACTCCAATTCGTAACTCCATCAGCAAAACTTTACAGAGCATTAAAACTAAATAAGGATCGAATTCACATGGACGCAGTCAATGTCATGTCGGGCACGCCCCACACACAGTGCAAACTCACTTTTGAGTCAAGTTTATCATAAAGCCTACTATCAAGCCTCGCCCAAGTTAAGTTCTAGATAACCCATGCTCATCTTAATCACGACAATAGCCAGTTTAGCTCGAAAATATTTTATTAGAAAACCTTTTTTTTTCTGTTCTCAACAAATTACAGCTTTATGAAAGTGATATTTTTGTGAAAGTGATTAGTGAATAAATAACACACACGGTGATCATCCTAGCAGGCCGAATACCATCTGAAACTAAACGAAGCGCCTCTCTTTTACTCCAAAGTCCAAACAATTACAGTTTTTAGCACATAAACCATATTAAAAAAAAAAATAGTGAGAGATACGGACAAAAGACCTCAGCAGGTTAGGGCTTCGTGAAACGCACCGATTAGGAGTTAAACAAAATTTGTGACTCTTGAAATTCCTGACATGTAGAAAACAACATTTTAAATCACCAGGACCAAAGATTCTAAATCCTAATTTTGAAAAAAAAAAAGGGGGAAGCTGAATAAAAAAAGAAGCGCAGCAGAAACCTAGGCAACGGGTAATCCGAGGTAATCAAACAACCACCGATTTCCCGATGATGTTGGTGAACTCATTGAAGTTGATGACGCCGTCGCCGTTGGTGTCGGCTTCCCGCATCATCTCGCATCATCTCGTTGGTTTTGAGAATCTTTATAATCTCACAAAATTTTTTAATTTACTATTCATCATAAAAGTCAACAGACACTTGTAGTCGGACCAGTCAAATAAATTAATCATAATTAATAGGCTCAGTCCCCAGCCAGACACAGGCTTGACAGGTCAATGTTTTACAGGCTAAATTGATAACCATTTCAGCACCCAAACCATCAAACCAAAGAAATACTGACCTTGATAAAGTACTGATACACCCCATTTGGCATTTCTTGCACCCATTGTACCCTGAAAATCAACATGATTCTTTATTAAGGCTCACAAAGTCACAATAATTTACTAACCAAAAGGAATAACCTCAGAAACTGAATTTAATATTTATAAAGAACCCCCACAGCCGCTCTCCCCAACCACACATGTATTCATGTGCGCACGCACACACTCACACACATGACACATGTATTCATGTGCACACACACACACACACACAACAAACACAAAAAAGGTGAAGTGCAGGCAAGCTCAACGATATTATTTAAAAGTAGAACATCCGACTTTTTCATGATAATAAGGTGAAGTGCAGGCAAGCTCAACGGTATTATTTTAAAGTAGAACATCCGACTTTTTCATGATAATACAAATACTCGCCAATCGCCATAGGTCTTTTACAACAAATAATTTCAGTAGCACAGTCCCAAGTTGGTCATGAATAATACGCATAAGTTTAAGATATATTACCATCCAGTGGATTAACTATTCCAGGAATAGAATCTCCAAATGATAATTTGTTAATTTTGTGGCTTATCTGCATGACATTGACATTAGATTAAACCAGTACAGTAATCAGTATTCAAAATTAAATTAAAAAAACTGTATAGAGAAGCAATGACCACAAAAAAAAGAGGATTTTAACACATAATTTATAGAAGGAAATTGAACAATTACTCACATTGTAACTTTCCGTCTGTATATTTAGCAAATCGAGCAGCTGGAAATTTTGTGATGAATGCTCTTACCAGGGACAAAGTGGAAATTGCCAACAACTCTATTAACCTCCAGAGATCCATATATATTGCATCTACTTCCTCTTTAACTTTTTGCACAAAACCTTCTCTTTTGCACTTAATACCAGAAACCACGACCAAGAAGGATGATTGTTCAATTGCAGAGGTAAAAAGTTTAGTCAGATTGAACATCAATCAGTTTCGTGCTTTTATTTGTTCTAGACATAATCACAACCATTCAAGATAAGAAAATTAGCAAATCCCCATTTCCACCAATTTTAACAGACATCTAATATATTTTTAGGGGATGAAATGGTTGTCATACAATAAAACTATAACTTGTCACATAGAGAGAATTTTATCTTAGCCATGGCATCTTCCTTTGATATCTATAAGTGACTTTCCCAAATACTATGGTGTGCAGTTATACAGTTCCTACCTTAATTAGTAAATCTCATGCAAATAGAACATATCATAAAGAAAACGTTAAGTATGTCATCCCTTTGAGAAGAATATTGGTCATAAAGGAATAAAAAAAATTGCTTAATAAATAATGGTAAGGCACTAAGACAACAAAAGATGTTCCTATCAACCTGATCAATCAAATTGGTGTTTGTCAGTCCCCAACCTTTCTTACGATATGCTTATTTCGTTGATGAGAACTTGCTCGTCCATGTCGGGGAGGATGGCGGCGGGGAGCTCGTCGAACTCGACAGCGTCTTTGTCGTTGGCATCCATGTTGGCGAGGAGGCGTGGATCTGTCGGGGAGGATGGCGGCGGCGAGCTCGAGCTGGGTGAGGCTACCGTCGTGGTCCATGTCGAACAGCTTGAAGTTGTAGTGTTGCCAGATCTTTCTGATTGAAGCTTTGCCATCGCGATTTTGGCCGGGAATCGGCGTAGAAAAATCCATCTGCACTATCGGCGAAACATAGAAAGTCCATTTCTAGTAAAAAAAAAACTCGCAAAAATTCTTTGGGTAAATGGAGTGAACCCGCCTTCACTTTCAGCTGTCTTCTGCTCAACGCATCGAACGATTCCAATGCAAATTCCTTCTCATCTCTCATTCCTGTAATAGAAAATTACAGTTGTAACTAAAAATCAAGCACTCATTTGAGCTCAACAAACCGCAATTAACAACACAATTAGCCATCAATTAACAACCTATGCATTGTGTTGGGTGGTCGTCTGGCTCGACTCGCCGGGCCCGGGCTGGCCCCGAACAGCCGCTGGTTTGTCCCGGCAGCTGCCAGCAGGCCCGGACAGCTTCGTGTTGGCCCCGAACAGCAACCTTTCGAGCCCGAACAAGTCCCGGTTTGACCGCTTCTAGCCGAAAACGAAAATTACCAATAAATATACTAATTTCAACAATCAAACAATATAAATGAATTGAAATTGCTGAAAATGAATAAAGCATAGAGAGGAACGAATACACCCTTTTCTCGTTCTCGTACGTGAAGCCCAAATGCTACGAAGATGCCGAGATGATGGGTTGAAATGGAGCACAGGCTCAGTTCCCTTTCGTCAAACCCTCAAAATGAGTCACAGAAGAGCCGACAATTGAACCGATCAATTGGACCCGTGACCTCAATGACTCCGGCACTGTCCACTGACCGTCCACCAAGCTTGGCCCGAGAAACAGCCCGCACACAAAAAACCCCAAAATCCGTCTCGCTAAAGGACCTGGCTCACACACGAAAGAGACTCTCACCAAAATCACAACCCCCTTATCACAGGATAGAAAATGGTATGTTTAATTTGACACAAAAGTCATAAGAAAAAGAGAGTAAGAACCAGTGCGTGCATATCTTAGCAAGAGAGTAATAGAGAGAGTAAAAATAGGATCAGAGTTTTCAAAATGCTGCGTGTATTCTACTAATGGCTGCTAAGGGTGGTTTTATAAATCCTAGGGAGGTAATTTGGGATTGGAGAAAGAGAAGAAGGAGAGTGACGGGAAA